ATACATGTTTTAAGGTTAAACTCTAAAGCCCATATTTATTTAAGTACTTTACCTTTACAGACACTTTTTATATCACATAAAATATCGATCTAGAGCAATATTGGTTCGTCGGAAATTATACTGTTTCATATACGTATAAAAATAACAAAAAAGGCTTTTCTGCAAAGCAAAATATTTTTATTAAGTCTGGTGCTCATTCTATTTATGTTTCACTCTTCCAAGCGTGCTATCAAGTTATCATTGACTTAAAACATTAAAACTTATGCAGATATAATAATTCATTCGTACACATTCATACCGTTCTTAATTATTAGCATAATCATAATCTATGCTAGTTTTAACATGATTTTCTTTTACCCTACGCTATAAGCAAGCCACTTATAACAAAGTAAAACTGTCTACACCAACATAGAATATGACTTTAGGCTTACGTCAGGCTCCGTCAGTAGTCCAAAATTTCGTCTAACTTCAAATAATGTTGTTCAATGCTGACATGTTTCTTTGCAATTCAACATCGTCGGAGCTTTACGTTAAAAACATCAAAATAATTTAAACATACAGTACAACACGTGGCACGGAACACGGGCCATTTAAACACGAAATAACTTGATAGCGCTATCAGTCCAGGGGCTAACAGAATGAATACTGTACAGTACTATGAACATAGAATATGGTTAATGAACCATGATTACGTTCTTATTATTCGTGTTAAAATAAAACAGATGACGGAATTAGCGTTAATCACCAAAGTTGTAGTTACTATTTAAAATTTATTATTTGATTTTGTGGTATAAGGTATGTGGTCTAACTAGTTCTTTATTGTATATAAATTTGATGTTTTGGTGTTTTAGCGAATTCCCCCTATAGGAATAAGCTATTACCGTAAGTTTCATGGTAAGACTTGGACCCGAAACCGATTTACTTTTTCGCTTTGATGTCCCCATTGACCAAAATATCATCCGTTTAAATTCTAATACAGGCTATGTATCGATAACTTAAGAAAAAATCGCCCGAATTTAATAAAATTTAGTACAAAAGTGCAAACCTTCGTGTGACCAATTCTATGTATTATTATGTACCTATTCGAACGAGTTTGCGAACAAATATGGTTGGGCCATGGAAAGGGGGATTTATGTGGTAAAGATTGTGTTTTCTCATTTGTTTACACTCAAAGGATAGAATTTTACAATTCCTATAAAAACAAATGATTTAGTATATTTAAGTGTTTATGTTGAGTTATTGATTACGGAGAAAATTAAAAAAATGTAAATTTAAAATTCACACGTTATTCTTACGGAGAATAAGTAAACTGTTGTGGTATATATGGATATATGTTGATCAGTTGGCATGTTTTTTTTTTTCATTTCATACCAATCTATTAAAATTTTATTGAAACAAACTTTATGACCCTCCCTGTAGCAGCAAACCTAAGTACTCATTAAACCTAATGTTATTTAAATTGGGGATGGATCTGACATGTTTAAGGAAATAATTAGGTGAATAATCAGGAAAATGGAAATTCACTTGTCTGCATGTTTGCTGCGGTGGGGTTGTTTTATTTTAAGTTAACTTAGTTAAAATGTAATTGGTTTTCCTGAGCGAGTTTCGGAAACAGAACAGACCGTGAAAAATTGTTGACATAATCGAGTTATAATGAATAAGATCTCTGTTCACAGCTAAACAGATTTGTTCGGAATTCGATTTCAGTGTTTAACCAGTAAGCCTGGCCTCACTTCGCTGTGGAATAATCTTATTCAATGGATTATATTTAGAAATGTTTCAGTACACATTGAATTACCAAATAAATTTATTGGTTATTGAAATTCATGCTACATTTTATGGCTTTTTAAATACTTTTGACATAAAGAATAGTTGAAAACCATTAGCTGTAACATGGGGCACCCATATGCAAAAACTCACCAAATCAATATTTATATTGTATAAACAAATTCAAAATTATACTTAAGTCACATAAAATTTTTAAACTGTGGGTTTTAGTAAGTTTTTCAAGATTAGTTTGATAGTTTTATTAGCTTGTCTAAGATTTAGAGCCTTTAGAAGCATACAGAATTGAGTGTAAATCAAAGCCTAGTCATGGTGTAGAATAGAAACGGTGCTATCTACTATTTTTCTTATGGACATCTTAAAAACGAGATGGCCATGGGAAATATTTTTTGGGTTGATATTTTTTTCTTTCGTAATGTAAATTTTATTCGCAAAAGTCAATAAGGAAAAAATCCAAGAACGTAAATTATTATACAATTAATGACTCATTGACATTTGACCTATATTTTTCAAATGTGGTGTACAGGGTGAACTACATAACTGTGCCATTATTATATAAAACATTAAATGGATGATTGTTAATGGTGATTGCAAATAATTATGTCACTAGCTGTAAAAAATAATTTTTACATGGAAACTACCTAGACATTAAATGAGGGTTTATAAACCTATGTTAAAAAGTACGGTTCAAGATCAGAGACTTTATTATACATGTTATATTTCTGAACAGCCATCCATGTTTTATATAAACTTACACTTGCTAAAAAGTAAAATTCAAAAAGAGAAATAAGAGGATGGGTCCCGAGCGGTTATACTCTGTACCGCTTCAAGCAATACTTCAAAGACACAGAGAATCATGATTCAGAATTGGCTTAATCTCATCACATTCCTACACCTGCCGACAACCGCAAAACGATCGTGGTTATACGGAACTGAATCTCAGGACGCCATAGAATGAGTCGTGTGCTATTTGTAACTTAAAGGCAGCAAATGTTCAATACCTATACTACATTAAAATTATTTGCAAATAAAACTATTTAAAGTGTCCACATGTGTTTTGTTAACCGACATTGTTTTACTATGTGGTTGCTTTTCTTATGCGGATCAAATAAAATACACCCTCTAGCATAATCGATACATCTTATCTGTAATTACTTTCAAGGCTGGAAACAGTTACTTTTAAACAAAATTTTGTTCCCAACTCCTTCACATCAAGCAATACTAAATGCTATCTGGCAAAATAAATTGAAACCAAAAATTATAAAGGCTTAAAAACTGTCAAAACTATCAATATAAACTTAAATTTCCAAATTTTGTTCTTACACATACAACGTTTCAAATCGGTCAACCAGTTTACAAGCTAAATACCGTTTTCACGTTGGTTTAATTAATTACAGTTGCCTCTGGGACCCCTCGTTGAATCCGGGTTCTGCCAATAACTGCGCGGATTTTAAGTTTTTAATTTTCTGTGTTCATATTGCACACTGAAAACATTTAAAAATTTTGTACTCACGAGGTTGTAAAGATCAATCAAAAGTGTTTCTGGTGATATTGGAAGGTTCCAGTCATAAGCGGTTTTTGTTTATATTTCCTCTCACATCGTAAAGAATTTATTATTGGTTTTCATTAATATTTGACTTGGTATTTGTTTATTGACAATAATCTTTTGAAATACAGTAACTATTTAATACGTGTATATTAAATATGTCTTCCTAATCAAAAAAATTGAAAAGTTTGGTGAGAAAATGTGAACTTACACATTCTAATCAAATCCGTTCGAATTCCAAACAGAACGATTGCACGAAATATGTTTATCAAAGCCATGTCTCCCCTCCCAGCCTAATAAGTTCCCAATTTTTTATTTGGTTTCAGCGAATTTATGTCCATGAACGCAATAACTTAAATAATTACTGTCCGACTGTGATGAAATTTGGCTTGAAGGTGTAGGGCGGGATAAACTTGAATTAGTTCACGAACCAGCTTGATCGGACAACGGGAACACGGCATTGGGGGTTTAATGGGGTAAAAATGGGGTTTCTCATTTTTGACCCTGAAAACATAACATTTCCCTATTTCTCTTTAAACTTTTTTAAGAGTTTAAAATCAAATTATTTAGTATATTTAAGTTTTTTTCGGTTATTGCTTACGGAAAAAATTTAATAAATTTAAAATTTAAAACTCCCATGTCATTCTTGTAGAGGATAAGTAAACTGTTGTAGTTTACTTGTTAATTGATAGTTTGATCAAACCTGGCAAATTTATTAATATAAATTACTATCATACTATATAATATACTAAGCTATTAATATTTAACTTAAACGCATTTTATTTCCTTCACTGTAGCGGCAAACTTAGGTACTCGTTCAACCTAGTGTTATTTAAATATATTTAATTGAAATTCAATCAGGTATATACAAACGTTCGCTTCGTCTGCAGATAGGAAACAATGTACAGACTGTGCTGTGTGTGGCGGGGGTATTTGATCTAAACATGCATTTTTTACTTTACATATATCCAGTATGACAATGTTTTGAACACGATACAATGCAAGTATAGGTTTGGTTAAATAAAGATAAGAATTGTGAACTTTCTTAAAAATAATTTAGCCATTTGACTGTTCCAAATAATTGCCATATTTTACACGTAATTTAGTTGACGCATTACAAGTTAAATTCCCAAGATTGTCATCCAAAGCCGCATTAGATACATCCCCCCCCACACGTCACCGTGGTTTGATAGACAGGTTTTGATTAATGCATGACAGTGTTCAATGACATTCGCAATTACCTATATCAATTTTGATTACACACTGCTACGCTGCATCAACCATTGGCTGACTTTGTAACTGTAATTAGACCAACCCAGCCTTCACTAAACGCACTATACAAGTCAGTTGTTATGGTTTATTTATCAGTCGAACATTTTATTCGGATATTGTTTTAACAAATTAAATTATTTTGATACAGGAAAGAAAAATCAAATATAAATATCCTTGAGGTATTCAGTAAGTCGTGAGTAGGTAGCACGAGGTAGCGAAGTCGTGGGATCACGTACCTGGCTCAACTCTAGTATTTATCGGTACAACACATGTATTGTATAGACACATTTCTTGACTTTACTTAATACGTTCCACGCACATGCTAAAGGACGTGGACGGACACATGCATGATGAGGCCAACCTCTTAAAAAAATTCTAATTGATTTTGCGCACATACCTTTCTTTGTGACGAACATGCAGGGATGGTCAAAGAGGAAGTTTCTGAAGGAGTTGCACTCCTGGTCTAGCTGGGGTTCGCGACAAAGGCAGGTCGGTTTGAAGAAGGGGAAGAGCTGCAAAGTTCTAAGGGCGGCTTGACACTTGGTCACTGTCACCGTGGAACATGATACTGCAAACAAAATCAATCGTTAGGTATATTCACACATATGTTTATTTGTTTTACCTACGACCGTTTTTAAAGTAGTAATTTTTGTGCAGTTCTTAGAATTGAAAAGTTTCACTTAACATTTGTTTACTTTCATAACAGCATAGTTTTTCTCATAACAACACGGGTGACAGACCAATGAGGTTCAAGAATTGAGAGAAAAGAAGTAAAATTGTTATGCTTCGAACTTCAACTAATCAGCTAATCAGCTGATCAGTTGACAATTATTATTGTTCATCCGACTTGTTCCCGTTGATACTCGCGTATTCTTAACCTAAGTTGGTGGAAGTTAAAGGAAGGTAGAGGTAGGTTAAACTGATTATAAAATGTCAGTTAGTGAAAGCGAAGTTGACGAGATAGAAATGAGAGCACAAACTGTTTGTGCTAATCTTTTGACACCATAATCGAAATCTAAGGTATGAAATTATACATACCAGCAGTTCATTAAATGGACGAAACAAAATAAGGTTAAATTTATAAATGAAAATGTGCTTCTGGTTTATTTTAAAAACCTCTTAACCACATTTTCACCCAACTCGTTGTGGTACCACAATTTTAGTTTTGTTTATAATTGTTAATTTTTACTTTTTATTTTGTTTTATTTTTGTGGATAATTTTTCCTATAGTTAATTTTAGCTTTTTGTGACAGATGTCTAACAGAAAATCCATTATATAATTTTGTTAGTGAATAATGGAAACTATATTTGATTGATCATTGAATATAAAATACTATACTGTATAAACTGAAGTCTATGTAATTGATTCCTCTAATAAGGCCTAAAATAGCCACGGCTGCATAATCTATTCAAAACTGCCGAAATAAATCAAACAATGTTGGTTTCGGTGTGGCAATTAACTGCTTTGATTAATTGGGCTTATCTGATTGCCAAACGAACTTGCTCCAGCCAGCCTTAAAAGAGCAAGTTTTACTTGTAACGAATTAGGTTAGAACAGAAAATCGAGTAATAGTTGTTCACAGAAAACATGTCTAACGATAATAATTAAAGTTTAACACATTAAACTTTTTTATTGATATATGTTTGAACATTAAAGTTTTGAGACAGGATGATTCAAAAGAATCGTTTTAAACAGTGTTATAAACTGAATTACTATTATTTATTAAGATTTTGATCAAGTCTTCGTAAAGAAACAGTGTCGAGTACTTCAAAAGTTAGGAGATGAATCAATCCGAAATCATATGGAACAAAGGAAGGTAATTTGCAAAATATTATCAGTAGGGTAATTATAGGGATTGTATCGCATCAGCTGATCTGACCATATGGAAATAATTGCTTTAAAAAGGCGGAAATGACGTAGAGTTGGGTTTTATGCGGGTGTTTCCGGTGGTACGTCACTTGTGACGTATGTGGGTACTGTTCTAATTGTTTAACGATCAAAACACATTTTATACAATTAAATGATGGATTTAGTTAAATTCATAGTCAACAGTACTGTGTAGTATTCTAGTAAGGTCAGCGGGGCGCGGCGCGGCGCGGCATGGGTGACTCACTGGTCGCCGCGGAATTGGGTTAGTTGGACGGAGGAAAGTTTGGTCAGGGTCGCGGCCACGCCCGGCCTTGTTACTCAACCTTCGCGGAGCTGTACCCAGATTTGGATAGTATCCACACAGTTCGCGTTTGGACATAGCGGCGGAGTGTTGTACGGTCCTGGGTCTATCGTTTTGCAGTGATGCCATCGTAATACTACACCTCGATTGACTCAACAACACAAGGTATTGTAAAAACCAATTTTAATTTATATCTTATGTTAGATAGTCGCAGGTTAGCTGTTTGTGGTTAAAAAATGTTTATACAGAAATATGTTCCTAATAGTAGATATATTTTCCCCCTGTTAGAAAATATTTGTTGGTCTTAAAAAAACACATCAGTAGTGTTGTATTAGGGGTACTGGAGACCGTGACGTAAAAAATAAAGTAAAATTAAACATCGTTTATATTTTGTTAAATAGTTTGACAGATTAGACTTTGTGGTTCAAATATGTTTATATAATGGAGTCTTTAGAAAGACTGATTTTTTTAAGTGAATTATACCCAATTCCATGTGTCCTGACTTGTGTGAATCAAATAAATTAGTTTGCCATCTTCAACGTCAGGAGGCTTTGGCACATTTAATCGTGTCGGAAAGCAAACCTCTAAAAACTTGTTGTCATAAAAGAAAATAAATGTTTTACCATTTTCATTTTGTCTTTGTTCTACTAATTGATAATGTTTGTTTTGTAACAGATATTTAAATGTTACTTTTTCTGTTTCTATTGGACTTACTAGTTGAGGAAGCTTCATTTCTTGACATATGGCTTCAGGTGATAATTGATTAGAATAATTTGATCCTGATGCATTCCAATGTAGTGGTAATTTAATTTGCTTCTGAAACTTTAGACGTAGTGACATTGACTTGCGAAAATTGCTAGTTTTAGTAGTAGTAGATTTCTTTAAATCTTCTTTTATTCTCTTTAGTTTATCTTGTGTGATTGTACTTGGCTTATCCATAGTTAACATCAGAACAGAGCTAGCATATGTGAACAGTCTCCGTTGAAGGTTCAACACTGAATGATGTGATGTTGGAGACTTCCTTACTTAGTAGGTAGAATTACCCGACAGTAGGGAAATTTACCCGCGAAGCAGGGTAAACCTCCCAACCGACCCCCTCCCAACTGGCTCGCGGATAAAAGTAGCGGCAGCGAACGGACTGTAGTCAGTCTCACCCAACTGGCACAGCTGACTGGTTGAGTGTAGACTGACTGACTTTTGATTAAAACCTTTCGTTAGATTTGGCCAATCTAACTTAATGTTTTAGTCAATAGCATGTGCTGCATGTTGTTTTTTTAGCTTGTATCTTAGATGGTTTTACTTTATGGAGTGCATCGTGTCTTTAGTACTTGAATTGCGCAGAGTGTTGTATTTTTCTAATCATGTGATATTTCAGCTAACAAAGGATAAAGAAGTCCCCCATTAAAATGAACAATCTTTTGTGACTGTAAATATTCTATATTTAAAATTTAAGTTGACCATTTTGTAATTAGTTGAGAGGTCCAACGGCCTGCATACTATTCTGCATTTGGTTAAATTAAATTTTAAACTTTTGTTGTCATTGGTAGTTTACTTATGTCAGCTAACAATGAACACTTTCTTGTGACTGTAAATATTCTATATTTTAAAATTTAAGTTGACCATTTTGTAATTAGTTGAGAGGTCCAACGGCCTGCATACTATTCTGCATTTGGTTAAATTAAATTTTAAACTTTTCGTTGTCATTGGTAGTTTACTTATGTCAGCTAACAATGAACACTTTCTTGTGACTGTAAATATTCTATATTTTAAAATTTAAGTTGACCATTTTGTAATTAGTTGAGAGGTCCAACGGCCTGCATACTATTCTGCATTTGGTTAAATTAAATTTTAAACCTTTGTTGTCATTGGTAGTTTACTTATGTCAGCTAACAATGGACACTTTCTTGTGACTGTAAATATTCTATATTTTAAAATTTAAGTTGACCATTTTGTAATTAGTTGAGAGGTCCAACGGCCTGCATACTATTCTGCATTTGGTTAAATTAAATTTTAAACTTTTCGTTGTCATTGGTAGTTTACTTATGTCAGCTAACAATGAACACTTTCTTGTGACTGTAAATATTCTATATTTTAAAATTTATGTTGACCATTTTGTAATTAGTTGAGAGGTCCAACGGCCTGCATACTATTCTGCATTTGGTTAAATTAAATTTTAAACTTTTCGTTGTCATTGGTAGTTTACTTATGTCAGCTAACAATGAACACTTTCTTGTGACTGTAAATATTCTATATTTAAAATTTAAGTTGACCACTTTGTAATTAGTTGAGAGGTCCAACGGCCTGCATACTATTCTGCATTTGGTTAAATTAAATTTTAAACTTTTCGTTGTCATTGGTAGTTTACTTATGTCAGCTAACAATGAAAACTTTCTTGTGACAGTAAATATTCTATATTTAAAATTTAAGTTGACCACTTTGTAATTAGTTGAGAGGTCCAACGGCCTGTATACTATTCTGCATTTGGTTAAATTAAATTTTAAACTTTTCGTTGTCATTGGTAGTTAACTTATGTCAGCTAACAATGAACACTTTCTTGTGACTGTAAATATTCTATATTTTAAAATTTAAGTTGACCATTTTGTAATTAGTTGAGAGGTCCAATGGCCTGCATACTATTCTGCATTTGGTTAAATTAAATTTTAAGCTTTTGTTGTTATACCTAAACACAGACTCTTTCCTCACTACAACAGAAGGAGAGATAGAGCATGTTTGCTCTATCTCTTCTTTTGGTATTATTTTAAATGACCTTGACCTACTTACAGGACTTTGAAAATATCTTGGAAAAAATATAAAAACGGTAGTAATGGATCTTTGAATGAAGCCTTGTATATGTTTGAATCCGACCGGGCACATATTCTAGCTAGGGACCTACTATCGCTAGTTAATTTACATAAGCAGGTGCAGCGTTGTTCTACCCCCACCACTCAACCCGAGCGTATAAAAGGGCTGCGAGCAGACGGATGATTGTCAGTCTTGCACAACCGGTGAAGCTGACCGGATGGGCAAACTGGCTAAAGACGAGACCCTTAGTTTAGAGTTGGTACCACTCTAACCTAAGGTTCTTGTCACTTAGTAGTTATATTAGAAGCATGTTGATTGTAGTATTTGTTGGCTTGTAGTTAGAGGGTGTTTTGCGTATTTGTATCTTTGGTAAGGGTGTTGTATTTCTTAATTATGTGTTGTTCTATTTCAGGTATCAAAATAATAAAGTCCCTATTAGTAATTTTATTTTCAATTTGAGTTGATCATTGTATGTTACAAAGTTCTAAGTGACATTAGTAAGTTGAAAACGTTCACACAAAACAAAAACATGAAACCAATAGTAAATTCATGACATAGAGTTCTCTTTGACATACACACATTTTTATGGGGACAG